GAAGGGAAGGGAAGGGAAGGGAAGGGAAGGGAAGGGAAGGGAAACAATCCTGGCAAGGTGCTGCTCTCACCTCTCCTGAGACTGTTGTCAGTGGCATTTTTGTACCCAGAGATAACATCAAAGCCACTCAGCCCAGTGAGACCAGTATGTGTGTCTCAGAGACAGTACTCTGAGCTTGATTCAGCTGCTCTTGAAGCCAAGTGATGCCAACCTCGATGCCAGTGGCAGGGAACTGAATGCAGGGGTCCCAAATTCAGTGCTACAGTATAACCATGGGGCTCCCTTTGCATGAGCTCCGTGCTGGGTGGGTGCTTTGGTACCACCATGGTGGCACCACCTGGTAGCAGTAGGGCTTTGGGTGATGCCTCTGCCAAGTATCCTGTGGCTGCTGGGTGCTTTGGTTTCTGTGTCAGTGTTAGGAACAGTGCCCAGAGCTGGGAGATGAGCAGATGAGAGGAGCAGGCTGGGCTCCAGCTGAAATCTGCAGGGGGCACTCAGCCTTCCCACCATCTGTTCTGCAGCTTGCAGACTGCACAGGGACTGGCTTGTGGAAGGAATTACTGAAATCTCTGTTAGATGCTTCGAGGGAGCACCACAACATGGGATGGAGACGCTGGCAGCCTCCTGGCACGTAGCTGGGAAGCACCAGTGAGCCACTGTGTGCATGGTGGTGGGAGGGTGGATGTCAGTGTGGCTCTTCAGTGCCTCTTCCCCCTGAGAGGCTGCTGGGGATGCTCTGCTGAGCATGACTGGAGGCTCTCCTGGCAGAGAAGAGGTCTAATGAGGAAGGGAGGTTCAGCCAAAATGCTGGTGCCCAGCCTGGGATCTCCTCCGCAGGGCTACGTGCCCAGTGTTTGCTGGGCTGAAGAACTCAGCACCTCATCACAGAGCCCCTGAGCTCCATAGGGATTGGAGATCTCCTACAGGAGCTTGGGCTGTCTGGATGCAGCCCTGACAGCTCAGCTCTTTCCCCACCTTCCCTTGCTTCTGAGTGTGGTGTTGTGCAGAGGGGCTGGCTGTGGCTGTTGCCTCCTGTGGTTCTCCAGCCAAGGAGCTGCTGTAGGGGGGAGTCAGTGCAGTGGCCAGCCCCAGGGGCATGCAGAGCACCCCCTCTCCATTCCCTTTGCCATGATGGCTGGGCCCTGGGCTGGGTTGCTCCTGAGGACAGCAGCCTCTCCTCCCAGCAGCACAGCAGGAAGATGGGAATGGTGCCGACTGCTCCTTGCTCTGGTTTTCCCTCTGTGGGCTCTTGCAGCAGCCTTGCCAAGCAGAGGAGTGTTGAAGGCTGACCCGACTGCACCTTGGGAAGAAGAAACTAGATTTATCACTTCCCTCTCTGATCTTTACCCCCAGCTTTGCAACAGCTCAAGGCTGGATTTGTGCCACGGTCCCAGAGCAGGGACGTTCCCTCTCTTCTTCCGTGTCTTGTACCTTCTGTGTCCCTTCCCCAGGCTCTGGCCTTATCTGCCCTGGACTCTGGTGTTTCTGCCTGACCCACAAATAATGTTCTGTCTGACTCTGCAGGATTGGGAGGTTCTGGTCCTGGAGAAGCTAAAGTGGGACCTGGTCTCGGTGATTGCGAACGATTTCTTGGCTCACATCCTCCATCACCTCCCGCTGCCTAAGGACAAGGTGGAGCTGGTGAAGAAACACGCCCAGACCTTCATCGCCCTGTGTGCCACAGGTGGGTGCTGGCTCCTCCTGGAGGAAGTAAGCCCTGGCAAAGTGGGGTAAGGGTCCTGGGGGCTCTTGCTGGGTGCCTGAGGGGTGCCAGGGTTGCACAGTTGGGCTGGCCACTGGGCTGAGTCTGGCTTGCTGGGCAACCTGGGGCTGGTCTCCATGGCCCTGGCTTTTGGAGGAGCTGCGTGCCTGCCTTCGTTCAAATTGGAGCATTTTGCTGCACAATGACACGTTTTCTATCCCTGGCAAAGTGGGGTAAGGGTCCTG